AATTATGCATAGACGCACCCATCCATCACACCAATGATAAAGACAATAATAACAGCAGCAGCTCCAGCAGTGAGAGGAAAGAAAATAATAAAAATTATTAACAAATTAAAATTTTTTAGCCTAATTATTAATTTGTGTTCAGGGTGTACTAGTATTAATAAGAAGATAAGTCCATTTAATAATAAAATAACTTTTGTAATGTCTAATTTGATTGCTCACCACTTCAATGAGTGAGACGGTAATTTCTACACTATTCCCTTTTATAACCGCGGCTTTTATGATCCTACTCACAAAGTTCATCGATAGTCTTACCTTAACTCAATCCCCTTCACCATCACCTTATCTCCCTAATATACGCTCGTGCTTTCTGACTTAGATGACCCTAGCTCGCTAGGTATTAAGCCTATCTGTTCACATCTCTCTCCCCTGATTACTGGAATGAAGTTTCCTCAAGGCTGTGGAAATCTTCTCCATTCATTCCTAAGAGATGGTTTTAGTGGGTGTTTGGCAATTAACTTTTATTTATTTAGAATCTTATGAAAATTGCTAGAACTGAACCGAGTTTATTCTTAATTACTTAATTTTTTTAAGTTTCACTTCAATGTATGAAAAGTTCGATTTTTTTTAATCCCATTTTTAATGTCCGACTTAGTTAACATAAATACCAATATTGAGAATAAAGTTAATTTTTTTTGCTGAAAGCTATTTTTTTATGACGACAAAGAAGTTATTTTAAAAATTGAAAGGATTCGAAAGGTAAAGAAATCATATACGGACTATAAATTAATAAAAAAGAAATTCGAATATTTCCGAAAACCACAAATGATGAGTACTTGACAATACTCGAAACACGGAGTGGTATGCAGATCTTAGATCAATCATGGAATAATCACGAATACTATGAGAAATACCCAAATTAATCAGTGAGATGGGTGGGACTCTGCAGAAACCCCCCAGCCATCATAGAGTAAAAGTGCCCAGATGCACTAACTCGGAGAACGCTCAACATAAGTTAGTAGAATTTTGTGTCGAATTTTGTATACTCCTATAGATTATACTCCTTCCTATACTTCTATACTCCTATCGATGACTAGGTTTATAAATGAACTTTTTTAAACTATATAACTATATATATATTCATTTCTAATAATTTTAATAAAAAGTTTTGAGTAACTTCTCATTATCACTATCTATGATTTTATTTACATATATTATATATAAAATATTCTTCTATATTATATTCTTCTTTAAATAATAAAAGTATTCCCACATATTTTAACTGCCACAGAAATGACTATTGTGTTCGAAATTGTAAATACTTAGGAATTCATTATAATTTTTAATCTTAAGAATAGAAAAAATATTTTTATTAAATTTTCTACATTTTATTTATTATTAATAATAAAACTCAATATTTGCCATTAACTCACCAAATAAAAATTGTTCAATTTCACTGGATCGATGTGTGGCCGCCTGATTTGTATCCATTTTTATTGGTCGATAATAATTTTATTATAAAAACAATTTAGTTTTATTTATTTTATTATTAGCATTACTAATGCATATTTGGCCGTTTCTAGAAATATATCGGCATTTTGTTTGCTAACATGTTTGACTTTTTAATTCGTCTATAATCGTATCATTTTCACATTCAGCACCAATATTCCAACTGCACTACACAATGTGTTGTATATATGATATATACAATATATAGATTGATATTATTTACAATACAATTTTAAGTTGTTAATTAGTAAAATTCACACACTAGCACTTAAATTTAAACAAATATTTCAATTCATATGTAATTCAAATTATTATTGGCTTTAAAACGATTTGTACTGATTTATTTTTCTAAAAAATATTTACACAATATATATATTATTTTATAGATAAATAAATACTTCTTTATTTTGTTAATAATAATTAATGTTTGATTTATGTTACATTTATTATTTGTTTTTAATTTAATTTAATATTTGAGATGAAGCGCAAAATTATTAATTATTTCCACTTAAGTAATGACATGCAACAGATCAGTGCCTCCGATCAGTGCCTCCGATCAGTGGAAGAAGATCACACGCGATTGTTTCGTATCGAGTCACAAATAGCGATCGAGTATCTGAAATTGTGGTAAGCGCCGATTTGACCTCCTACAGAGCTCGAATGAGTTACATATTCCAATTGCGTTTCTTCTTGTTGTGCTGATGCTTACCAGACAGTTGTGCTGGCGGCCTGTTACACACTGAAAATGATTATTTCTGTTTAGCAGTTTGCTACACTAACTTCACAATAGTTCACGTCGCCCGTCGTCAACGTTTCAATTCTCTTATTACTTCAAAATAACAGATTTCAGAGCGCTACGCTCTTCGGTTCAAGATACATTAAGTTAAACACATATTAGTGTTATTATCCGTAAAGAGAACAGCATAATTAGATGTTTAGGGATGAGTCGATTATCCTATTATTTTTTGAATCAGTGTTAACAGTTTATAGTATTAATTTTAAAATTATTACAAATTTTTATATACTAATTATTATATCATGTATAGTATATATAAATGTGAGTATTTGTATCTATTTTTGCTATATTCAAATATTATTTTCTTAAAACACTTAAGTGTACTATATATGGTATATGATATAACGTGACTAAAATACAAAATACTTTTTTGAGAAAAATATCCAACAATACTGTTGAATACTGTCAACTGAACTTTGTTGACTTTTTGGCTTTATAATATAACCCCAGATTGGGTACACTAACATTGGAGAAGGATTTATTGATCATGCAGGTTTATATCTGAAACTTTTAAGTCTTATAATCTGTTAAATTAAAATATTTAATCCAAAATATAAAATTAAAATGAGCAAATGTTTATCTACTAGTCTGAGCAAACCCTATAAAGAATTATTTTATTTATTTTTCTTTATTTTTCTCTTTATTAAGGTTAGGTTAAGTTAGATACTTCCACTCGGAGGTATATATTGTCCATTGTGTTGTCCTCAGAAATTTTGCCGGGAGAAACGAGTTGCTAGCATTTGTTATCTTGTTTAAAGTTCAGTATCCTTCACATCAAGATTTTTAGTTTGCATAAAAATTTACGAAATATTTTTAAATTAAAAATATAGATTATTATATACTTGTATTTAAATCTAATTAATACAATTGTGATTGTTTAGCAAATAAATTTGATGAAAAATATTTTAGTTAAAAGTAGAGAAGTTTTTGTTTATTTAAGAATTCTCTCCAACATTAACTGAAGGAATCAAGTTATACCTTTACGTTAAACATTTCACACTGCAGATAAATAGATATGAAATTATTTAATTCATATCAGTTACTATGTAAACACCTTCAATTCAGTCACACAAGTAGTTATTATTCAGATTAGCTCGTATACAAGTACGTAGTCATAAGAAGGAGGCATAAGGAACTGAAGCTTCCCTGAGATGACCTTACACTTAAACTTAGACCAACCTTTTTAACATACGTTTACATGAATTATGTGTGGAATTTCCTAAATTCGATAGCTTAACTTCGTAATGTAAACAGGGTATTATACTATATTTACACTTAGCCTTAGACAAACCTTTTTAACATACGTTTACATGAATTATGTGTGGATTTTCCTAAATTCGATAGCTTAACTACGTAATGTAAACAGGGTATTATACTAACATATCTATACTATGCTATTATAGTATAATATACTATTATACTTTAATATATTTTTACATGGATTATATGCGGATTTTTTATAAAAAATGGCACATATTACTACGTATTTATTATTTAAAATTATCGATACAATTTACTTAATTGATTATAATTTATAAAATATATATTTTCAAATATTTAATCAAAAATTAAATATATTATGAAATAATATTATTTTGATATTAGGAATAAAATTATTGTAAAGGCAAGCTATGCTTAATATTATCACAAAACACAAAATAAACAAAGTTTGCAGAAGTTGATCTCGACCGGATATGTTATTTTATTTTATTTTATTTTCTTTTTTTTTGATTATTTTAAGCATCTGTAAGTTTTTTGATTTTCGTAAAATATTTCATGTTATTCTTGCTTCATATAAAATGATGACGTTATTTTTCTTCCTAATTAAAAAAGCTAGTCTTCTCTTCTCTTCTTCTTCTCTTTATTAAACTTTAGTTTCACTGCCATCTGTTACTACCAAAATTTAAATGTTAACAAATTCTGTTTGATTTTTATTGTATTTTTGGCCGGTGCGTGTATTTTATGCTTCTTCTTTATTTTGCAGTTTTGCAGGCTCTTTTACTCACGTCAATGGTCAGCGATTAAATTTGTTATACAAAAAATTATTATACAAAAATTTCTTATATTTTGGAAAATGGCATTGATAAGAAAAAGAATTATTTCAGTTTTTAGTGAGGATTGATAAAGTCAACGACGTCACATGGATATTTTCGTCATAGCAATAATCTAAATAATTGTGTCTGTGATCGCAGTTTGTGCAGTCAATAACCCCACTTCGACTTGTCAGGATTGCATATTGAGAATGTAATACATTTATCATATGCGCAGTGCAGTGCAGTGAACTGTTCGAAAACTGTTATAAACAACAGTTCAAACTGTCGAACAATTCCATTGTCCTCAGGAAAACTTATAAATTTTGTTTATTTATACATAAATTAATTAATAAAATTCATTTATTTTTTTCTTAATTATTTGTTATTTGTTTGATTTACTAATATCATAAAATATTTTATTAAAATATTTAATATTATGGCGGATTTCATCAGCAATAATACTTTGAAATATAAACAATATAATAATAAATGTTGTGTTAAAAAAATTTGATTAATAAACATTTAAAAAAATAAATCCATAACTATAATAGTAGAAAAAAAAATTGCAAAATAAAAAGAAATTTATTTGCGATGCCAACCATATGAGTCAGCAGT